TGGTTTTGTTGGTGTGTGGTTGTGTTGGTGTGTGTGGTTTTGTTGGTGTGTGGTTGTGTTGGTGTGTGGTTTTGTTGGTGTGTGTGGTTCTGTTGGTGAGTGTGGATTCTGTTGTGTATGCTACTATGTGGGACTTCTCTATGTGTTGATGTGAGTGAACTCATTGTTTCTCTTGACCCAACATTTGAACGCTGTGGATCACCTGATGATCGTGTGTAACTTTTGGGCAGGAATTCAACATCCACCCAGACAAATGGACATCCCTCAGCCCCACCCTCAGCCCCGCCCACCCCCGTCCCACACAGTGGAAGATAGTACATGCGATATTAACCCCTGCCCCCAATAAATGAATCAACAAAATAGAAAACCTTTAGTGCAGCAGTGGGAAAAGACCCACCCACCCACCATACCCTGACCCCCCCCCCACCCCTACATACTCACGGATGGGGAGGGGCGGGCTAGTTTGTACTTTGCGAGTGAGTTTACAGAGCAACATTACGACATCAAATAAACACGAGCTCGATTTTTTTCGGCTGAGATGGATCACCCCCACACCCCACACTGAGCTGACCACCACAAGCCCCACACCCTGGGCTGACCCCCCCCCCCCCCCCCAGGGTAGAGCCCCACCCCTACGGCCTGTCACCCAATGTTGACCATCACGTCCAGCCCGTGTTGATCCCGAGTTTAATCAGCGTAAAACAAAGATGGGGCTGGGGTTAAAGACACAGTCGTCTCCCTTTTCTTGTAGACACAAGGCACCAGTAGGACCAGAGTGATAGCAAAGCTGGCAGGGGCGACAACTCACTGAAAGTACAACTAGCAGGGGCAACAACTCAAAGTACAACTAGCAGGGGCGACAACTCAAAGTACAACTAGCAGGGGCGACAACTCACCGAAAGTACAACTAGCAGGGGCGACAACTCAAAGTAAAACTAGCAGGGGCAACAACTCAAAGTACAACTAGCAGGGACAATAACTCACCGAAAGTATAACTAGTAGGGGCGACAACTCACCGAAAGTACAACTAGCAGGGGCGACAACTCACTTTAAGTGCAAGATTCAGGGGTGACAACTCATTGAATTTTCAACAAGCAGGGGTCATAACTCAATGAAACTACAATTAGCAAGCTTTAAAACTGTGTTGGCGTTATCAGCATTGTTCTGTGAAGGGGAGTGAGAGAGAGAGAGAGAGAGAGAGAGAGAGAGAGAGAGAGAGAGAGAGAAGAAAGACTCACTGAAAGTTAAACTGTTAAAGGCGGCAACTCAAAGTACAATTCTATTAGTGTTCTTTAACAAGGGCGACTACTGGGTAAAGGTTTAACCCATTAACTATATTAGCGCTATCTACAGGAAAGACACCTCTGTAGCAACATCAAGAGAAGCGACTAGACGTAGAATGTACAGCAGCATTAGTACTATATCATTGTCAGCCCTAAACATATTGTCCCAATGTTTTAAAAAACAAGACCAGATATTTCTATTCACTAGTCTGGTACGTGGTGTCTCAACTATAAGCGATCTATAAAAAAATCAATCAAACACACACCTTTATTGCTAGCCTGCCCATAAACTTTAGAAATATATTTCTTGGTCTTACAATGAATTATTTTTGTTTTTAATTAAGTCAACTAATTAGGCTGGTTTAAATTAAAAATATACTCTCTTAAGATTTGGTAGCGACAACTAAAGCTTCGAAATGATGTTTATTAACTCCTTTAATTAGACCAAACATTTAAAAGCCATAGTACTTGAATGCAGAGGCGTAACGAAGGGGGGGGGGGCGGGGGGTGCGGACCGCACCGGGTGACACCATTTAGGGGGGTGACACCAAGGCAAAAAATAGTAAAATATATAGAGAAAAATGTCAGGGTGGGGGGTTGCAAATCAAAAATTGAAAGTTTGTACCCGGGAAGAGTCGCTACACCTCTCGGGGGGGGGGGGGGGGTGACACCATTAAGTGCCGCACCGGGTGATACCCGACCTCGCTACGTCACTGCTTGAATGAATGTACTTTTATTAATTATAAAAACTTAGCTGTAAGAAAATTAATACCCGCACTTGCACCATAACCAGATAGGTAGATGTTCCACGTATGTACGGGTATGATTGAAGTGTATCGGATACTGCACTAGACTATGTTAATGGATTGAGTTCATTGTTGTTTCAATTAAACCAAAACTGGAACATTTTAAAAGTACGGAATCGATGAAAGGATATTTTGTTCCGGTTAACTGCCGGCTTTTTCACGGTCATATTTCATGGTGATAATGATAAGTGGATCAGGTAAATAATTAATTATCATTTACTTAGGTAAATTAATACCTCCATCCCCCCCTCTCACTCATGTCGTCATAAAACATGACCACACAAAGGAATATGATTCTAGTTAGTGTTATTTTTTACTTGTCGTGCATAATCCATGGCGCTTAATGCAATTCATGTGGTTTTAGTCATAATGAAGCGTAATGTCAAGTCATTATGACATGTGATCAAAGTCATAATGACACATGATCAAAGTCATAATGACACGTGATCAAAGTCATAATGACACATGATCAAAGTCATAATGACCACTGGGTAGTTCGTACCAGTACTAATGAGTACCAACTTAATTAAACCATCTCCTGATTAGGGGCAGGTACACTGTGGAACAAATGTGTGCATAAAATGTCCGACAAGCTGTTCCAGTGGAAATCAGACGTCACACTTTTACACGTGTTGTCATGATACATGGCTATATAGCTTTATACGGTTCTCTCACCCCATACAGATATAAGGTTATATGGCTATATACGGTTCTCTCACCCCATACAGATATATGGTTATATGGCTATATACGGTTCTCTCACGCCGTACATATATAAGGTTATATGGCTATATACGGTTCTCTCACCCCATACAGATATATGGTTATATGGCTATATACGGTTCTCTCACGCCGTACATATATAAGGTTATATGGCTACATATGGTTCTTTTACCACATACAGATATAATAAGGTTATACGGCTATATATGGTTCTTTTACAAGATAAAGATATAAGAATGTTTTTTTTAAATACATTTGGTTAAAAGTGGTAAAGTTCTAGGAAGATTCCTTTTAATGCCCATATTTATTAAAGTACTTACTGTATACAAAAAAAAAATATCTTTAATCTTTTGTTCGGAAATTTTAAGTTCTCCGAAATAAATTCCTTCTAATGCCAATATTTCTTAAAGTACTTTCTCAATGTTATTTTAAATCTTTTGTTTGAAAAATTCAACTTTTCCCAAACAAATCTCCCTCGTTTGAATCCGTTGGCATTAAACGATTGATCTAGTCCTCACTTGATGCAAATATCGACCTTTAAAGAAACAATCGCTTCATTTATTTCTTCCCCCTCCTGATGAATCTATTTAAAAAAAAAACATTCTCCATTAAATAAAAAAAATACATAGTCTTCATGACTTTCAACACCCAAATTAAAAAAAAATATTGTAAAATCATTTCTCAGATATTTCTAAGGTTAATTAACACACCATTTTTATTTTGGTATACATAAGATAAGACTTGATATCTCGGTACAACAATAATGAAGGAGAGAAACCTCCAAAATCAAACAACTGCTGTCTTGTAGTTTGTTCTTAGATGAAGTATCGCTTTGGAAGCTAATCCAGAAAGAAAAGCAGGCTGAAATCAGAGTCAATGTCCTATAAGGAGCATAACAAGTTGACACGTAATGCTTAATTGTGATGGAGGAAATCCCTGCCCACATTACAATTAAGACGGAACAAAAAAGAATCATAAAACCGATTTTTATTTTTGGTCTACATTTTATGAACCGGCAGGAATATGGCCAGACGAACATCACCCAACGCACCATAGTAAAAAAATGTAACAAAAACATCCAATTCCTGGTATAGTTAGACACATGCGTATAAAAACAAAAAATGTCTGACGAATAGAATAGAAAACGGAAACTAGCAGCAGAAAAATGGGTAAGACTTGAAAACATATTTTTGGTGTCCCGAATCGAATGATTTCAGATACTTGTTTCGTTTTTTTTCTAGGACTGGTGAGTGGGTTGGGAGAATGGTAGCGAGGGTTGATGGTAGGATGGTAGCGTGGGTTGATGGTAGGATGGTTGACGGGAAGGGTTGTATTTTTATGAGGACATGTGGTAATTTGTGTTTGTGGGTGGAGGTGGGGGTCGGCTTACAACACGTCAGCCCATTATGGCGGCATCTACTCCAGTACGGAGCGTAACCGGTAAAATTGTCGCAAATGAAAGCATTACATTTAAATAATTGCTTCTACGAACAATGAGATTTTGTTTTCAAAGCACTTTCCTCGCAGATATAAAATTGTGTCATTTATTTAGCAATTTAACCAGCTGAGCTAAAATACAAATGACGTCAGAGGTTGATTAACAAAATAAAAAGATTTTTGCTGAGAGAACTTCTCGGGTGGCCGCCTAGAGTCGTTTGATGATTTCAAATTTTCGTTAAGCTGGGATGAGATATTTAAGGATAAATTCTTTTTATCTGCAGCACGGGTATCATGTGACCAAAAGGACTTAATGTTGTGGATCTTGTCAGTGGATCCCTTGATCACGTGATGCACAAATTGGCGGATTAGCTCCAATAGATCTGAGATTAATTACCTGATTACAAGGTCACTTAAGTTTAACACTTGTTAAATCAGGTTAATTATGCTAGAGGAAAAATATGTACGGTACGCGTGTACAAATGTCAACTATGTACATATGTGTCCGTGTACATAAATGTGTTATGTGTACGTGTACAGGTAAACGTGTGTGTGTGTATGTGTATGTGCACGTGTATATGTGCACGAGAGTGTTTGTTACATGTGTGTGTATGTGCAAGTGTGTGTATGTACGTGTGGCCATGTGTACGTGTGTATGTGCTGATGCCCCTGACATATATAAAAACAAGACATACTGTGGTCACCACTTGTAAAACAAGACATACTTCACATAAAAAAAGACATAACCTACCGTCACTCTGGGTACCCGAGTCGACCCGACCCCCGGGCGAGCTATTGTTGAGCTTGACGTGCATATTTTTAGCCATCATGCTCTGACGCACGTTCCTCTCTGGCCGCATGATGATGATGTACAACTTTGGCGTGAACATGCAGATAAGCGCCACAGTGGCGCTCAGGCTGATGGAGAAACACATTGTCGCTATACGGATCTGTATGTTGTGGGAGGTGCTCAAATAGATCACGACAAACGCCGCCCATATTATACACGTCGTGTACATGGTAAATCCGATGTACTTGGATTCGTTGAAAGCTTCTGGAATCTTCCGCGTGATGACGGCGTACACCGTGCAGACTAGCACCAGGAAGATGGGGTACGAGAACCCTATCATGTAGGCGAACCCGATGGCCGCCTCGCATACCAGTTGGTGGTCGTCCCGCCGGGCGTAGAACGACCGGGCGTTGGGCGGGCTGGTCAGTAGCCAGATCAGGCTGACGATGATCTGACACGCCACCAGGCTCGCGCAGATCACCAGCTGCGACTCAGGACTTATGAATTTCGGACGTTTTACGGTTCGTTTTCCGGCTCTAAATATCCGGGATATCCGGTTTGTTTTGGTCAAGATGGCGGAGTAGCAGACGGAGAAGCAGAAGCCGATGCCGATGGTCTGAGCGCCGCAGACGTACTTGGTTGGTTTGGAGACGAGCAGGAAGGTCATGGTGTAACACAGGAATATGCCCAGCAGCAAGACGAAGCTGAGCTCTCGGCCCGAGGCCTTGACCACGGGCGTGTTGTTGTGCTTCAGGAAGATGGCGGCGGTGACTAGGGTGGCCAGGATGCCGAGGGTGGCCACGGCCATGGCGGCGAGGGCGATGGCGTCGGTGTAGCGGAGGTAGATGGGTGGGATCTCGATACATGACGTCATGTTGTAGCTGGGGAGGGTGCCGTCAGGACACTCAACACACCTGCAGGAATAGTTAAAGTCTCAAATTGGAAGCAAGTTTTAATCAAGTTTTAATTAAATTTTAATTAAGTTTTAATTTAGTTTTAATTAAGTTTTAATTTATTTTTAATTAAATTTTAATTAAGATTTAGTTAAATGCCTTACAATTATTTTCGAACATGAAACAGTTTTAAAAAATTGATTTTCATGAATAATTTGATCTCAACTTCCTGTCTGTCTGCCTTCCTCACCTGATTGTTTCCGTTCAATCAATTTTTTTTAATAAGCTGATGGGTGAAAAGGTGCGAATAATTTGTTAAAAATAAAATCTAGAATCACGGAAATCTATTTTCATTTTAATTAGAAAAATTTCTGTACTTCTAGATGATGTGTTTATTTGGATGGAAACATTTTAGCCGCATGAGTTTAGAAAAGGCCAAAAAACACTGCTTCATAAGCCACGTAGATCACATGTTGGAAGACGTCTTTTTAAACATTTTTTGTTAAGTGTGTTTGACGTATTTACATGGTCTTAAATACATTCACCTATTTATGTAGTTATAACATACTTCAAGAAACTACAATATTGAATAGAATTTTAAGATAATAACTGCACACATATTACACGATCTGTACTAGATTGAGTTCAACAAAATACACGAGTGTTGCCTAGATCTACAAGAGTTCAACAACTGACATGAGTGTTGCCTAGATCTAGAGTTGAATGAGTGACATGAGTGTTGCCTAGATCTACAACATTTAGAACGAGTCACATGACCCCTGCCTAGATCTACAACATTTAGAACGAGTCACATGACCCCTGCCTAGATCTACAACATTTAATTTAGAACGAGTCACAAGACCCCTGCCTAGATCTACAACATTTAGAACGAGTCACATGACCCCTGCCTAGATCTACAACATTTAGAACGAGTCACATGACCCCTGCCTAGATCTACAACATTTAGAACGAGTCACATGACCCCTGCCTAGATCTACAAGAGTTGAACGAGTCACATGACCCCTGCCTAGATCTACAACATTTAGAACGAGTCACATGACCCCTGCATAGATCTACAACATTTAGAACGAGTCACATGACCCCTGCCCTCACTTGGTCTCATCAGGACGGTACTGGTATGTGAGACAGTCCTTACAGTACCAACAGCACGGGTCCCCGGGGATAGGCTCCATGTACTGGACACGGCTACACTTGGAGCTGCACACGGACGGGGGGTGGTCCGGCTCTGTCGTCCGGAAGATGATCGGGTCCGTCTGCAATGAGAGGTGTATTACGTCGCAATCACTGCAGGGTCAAGGTCAATTTTGTTTTTTGAAACACTGTCACAGAAAGGTAAGATATCCGTGTTACGTTGTTAGAAACATAATCCCCCCCCGCCACGCCCCATACTATCAAGTCCCACGTACAAAAAAACACACATAACATGAACACACACATCACTAAACCACATATACAAAAAGCACACATACCCCATAAATACACAATCATAAAAAATACACAAAGATCACAAAAACGTACAATGAAAACAAAATCACAATACAAAATCGCAATACAAAATCGCAATACAAAAACACAATACATAAACACAATACAAAAACAAATTACAAAAACAAAATACAAAAACACAATACAAAAACACAATACAAGAGGTCGAGAAAGAGAAGTAGAGAGACGAGGTAACGAAAACAATGTATGAGAGATGGGTGGGGGAAGTACGTCAAGTCTGAGTCAAGTTGAGAAAGTTCTAGTCAACATTTAGGTCTGAAATGTTCTGGTATTGTTTTTTCTCCCCCCCCCCCCCACACTTCCTGATAGAACCCCCTCTCCCCTTTCCTCGCACAACTTCCGCTCACAATTTTTTTCCTTATTCCGCCAACTTTGAAAATATTTCGATTTTTTCCATCCTTTCTTCTGTTTTTTTACGTTGTGTCGTTGGCCTCGTTATCAAGTATTTTCTCAAATTTCGCTACCTCTATCAAAAACTGGTTACAACAAATCAATGTCCAGTTTTTTATAGACAGCCTTAGACTGTTCAGTTTGGGCAGACAAGTTTGTTATTGTCTAAAAGACTGTTGAGATTATGTGAAGACTAGAACTAACCATATATCCTGTATGGAACATATTCTCAGTCTGCAACATGTTTCTATTTTATTTTGTTATTTTCTGTTAAAGACTTTATCATTCATTAAATTGTGTACATGTTCAAGCCAAATAATTCTTGACAAAGAAACATCGTCTACTTGATGAGGAATTGTATTTAAAATGACAGAAAAAAGTCCCAATAATTGTTTACCTGCATTACAGGCAGGGGTGAGCGTGGATTGAATGGACGGGGAGACAACAAAACAAAATAAAGATAAAAATACTTGTCATTTGTATAATCATTATAATTTAAAATAATGTTTTATGGTGTTCAACTTTATGGTTTTCATCTTCATAGCGAACATTCTTGGTGTCTTTCGTAGTACTTAAAGCACAATCCAAACACCACCTAACCTAACCCAACCGAACGCAACCTAACCTAAACCAAAATCTAGATTATACCTAAAACACATTGTTTTCCCCTTTCTCCCCCGACTTAATTAACTGCTACAACACAGCCACATGACCTCGTGTTTGACGTCCCCTGAAGAACTTATTTCACCGTCATTCTTCGCTTCCTCCTAAAGTCATCTCTGTATGATTTAGCTCATCATCTGAGCTTAACTCGAACAAATGAGCTCAGACCCACAAATCTTGACCCAATTATTTTGGCGGTAAAGTGTAGAACTATTTACTTTTGTTCTGAGTCCCCTCCACCCCCCATCCACAAAAAATGTCACAGCAATTAAGCAAAGCCGCGAGATCTGTTGTATCCTCGGCTTATCCCTGGGTACTTTTGGGATAAATCCTAAAAATTCCTCCCATAAACTTTCAGGAAATTCTTCTGAGAATTGAATACAAAAATGAGATCAAGACAAAAGATGGTAAAAACTTTAATTTTCGGGCCAAAAATTATTTTAAAAGCCTGCATTTCCTGTTATGTGGATTGGGAGAATTTTCAATTTTGTGAACTGCTAAATTTCCTTTCTCATTCTTCTAAATAATAATGATAATTTCTATTAATATTATTGTATTTATCACCCTTTTATTGGCGTCATTATTTTTAATAGTTGTGTTTGTTTCGTCCTCGCATCAACCCCACCTCCAACCACACCCTCCACTACTTCCACCCCCAACCACACCCACCACCACTTCCACCCCAAAACCCTTTATTACCCCTGCAATATATATCCCCCACCCAATATCCCACAACCCATATTACCCACTCCAACCCCTAGCCCCACCACCACCTCCCCATCCATCGTGTCCTCAGCAGACGTAGCGTGCAAACGAAACAGACCAGCAGACGACAAAGAATGCCTTCGATTTGTTGAAACACGTGTTACTTCCGGTTATTTAACAATAACTTATGCATGGAAGAGTTCCGTTTCCGGCTGACCGTGAGCCGGCTTTCTTCAAGTTGGGCAATTATGTGTCTGACCCTAGCCGTCCTGACCCCATCTTGTGGGGGGGGGGGGGGGGGAGGTCACGTGTCCTGCTTGTTTTGAAGACGCTTGTATTGACGTGTTTATAACAGTAGCACCAGCAGACGACAGTAGCACCAGCAGACGACAGTAGCACCAGCAGACGACAGTAGCACCAGCAGACGACAGTAGCACCAGCAGACGACAGTAGCACCACCAGACGACAGTAGCAGACGACAGTAGCACCAGCAGACGACAGTAGCACCAGCAGACGACAGTAGCACCAGCAGACGACAGTAGCACCAGCAGACGACAGTAGCAGACGACAGTAGCACCAGCAGACGACAGTAGCACCAGCAGACGACAGTAGCAGACGACAGTAGCAGACGACAGTAGCAGACGACAGTAACAGACGACAGTAGCACCAGCAGACGACAGTAGCAGACGACAGTAGCAGACGACAGTAGCACCAGAAGACGACAGTAGCACCAGCCGACGACAGTGCCACTGCTAGATTGACCATGGACATCTTAAGATGATCTCTAACTTAGTTTAGACTGGTCAGTTTAGACTGGTCAGTAAAACTGAACCAACGTATGACTATTTCAGCTAACCAAAACATTCTTTGTATCAAGTGACTGGCGCTCTAACATTATCAACATAGGTCTTACAACTAGGACTCTAAGAGACATTCATTTAGTTAACACAAAAACTATCCCATGCTTCTTGAACTAGACTCTCGTGGCATGCTAATATTTAAGATACATGTCAGCCAACCCACACTCCAGACACACACAATCCCCACACAAAATGACACCCACTTCCACACACATGCTATGTGAAAACGTGACTTACCTCACACAAAATGAATCATTCGTCACCTCCACCCCACTAGACGTGACACAGTTCACCCCCTTTACAAAACGTGACAGTCCCCCCCCCCAACAACATGACACACAGTCCCCCAACCCCATAACATGACACACAGTCCCCCAACCCCACAACATGACACACAGTCCCCCACCCCCACACCGTGACACAAAGTCCCCCACCCCCACACCGTGAAACAGTCCCCCACCCCCACAACGTGACACACAGTCCCCCTCCCCCACCCCCACACCGTGACACACAGTCCCCAACCCCCACAACGTGACACACAGTCCCCCACCCCCACCCCCACACCGTGACACAGTCCCCCACACAGTGTGCCATCAACTCACGATATTTAACGTGCTGTTCTTATAAAATCCAACCGTCGCCCACTCGTAGCCCCCTGACTCCGTCTTCCTAAAGTTGAGGATCCTGTACCGAGATGGCCCGTCCCCATTGGACAGGAACTCGAACTCTTGGCCAGATAGACCTGGGGATACATTAACATCATTCATTAGCTCACGGTGGTAAAGGGGGTACTCCCCAACAGGGGGTATGGGGGTAGAGGGGTGTAGAGGTGGGAGGGATGTTATGGGGTGTGGGGTTTAGAGGTGGGAGGAATGTTATGGGGTGTGGGGTTTAGAGGTAGGAGGGATGTTATGGGGTGTGGGGTTTAGAGGTGGGAGGGATGTTATGGGGTGTGGGGGGTAGACACTTGAGGGAGGTAGTGGGATGTGGGATGTAAGGAGGATGTGGGATGTAAGGAGCTAACGGGAGGTGCAGATGTGTGTGAATTGTGTGATGTGTGGGATGTGTGGGATGTTGAGAGGTGTGGGGGTGGGCTAGGGGGTGTGTTACGAGGTGACCGTGGAAGAATTTGAAGTCACTGAAACCGAAAACCTGAGATTTTTCAATATTTATCTTTTCTACATTGAGTTGGACCAATCAACACACGGGAACTGACTTATCGTGTCACACACAAACACCTAACCCATTATAAGGGTACGTTTAACCAAAGAGTAGCTATACATTTTAGGACTGAAATCTCGCCCGTCGTTCTGTCATGAGAGGTCAGACAGTCACATGACGTCATGGGTCACGTGACGAACTTAAACATAGGAGGACTGTTAAACATGAGGGAGATAGCTTGTTAACCTAATCACCGCTAATGAAGGCTGGACCGCTGGGAGGTGGGGTGATGGGGGGTGGGGCGGACTTTGTGATCTTTGTGGACTTGTAGGAGAGAACTGGAATTTTGGAGTTTTAGGAGTTGCACTTTTGTGTGTTGTGTTTCAGTGCTAGAGAGATGAGACTTAGAATTTTTCATGTGGGACTTTGGCCGAAGCTCTTTGATGTACAGAGGACATATATGGATAGAACAGCTATAAATAATAATTTCGGTCATATTTTAAAAATATATGTTAAATATGTTTAAAGTTGAGAACTGCTAGTTGTATTTGGTGGTAGTGGAGCAGACGATGGCTAGCACCAACCCTGACCCCACGTCCGTATCAGCAGAAGCGTCTAGAACCCAGATCGTCTTCCACTACGACAGCTACAGGTTTTGGAACAGAAGTAATCTACGCGTAGTTCGTTACACCCTGAAAGATGTTATTACTTCTAATTTGTGAAGGTGAAGTAGAGTAAACCTTGAGCCTTCACCTTGTCATCTACAGCGTGCTTGTGGTATCCCAACATTCCGGGCTCATAATGACTTCCGGTAGCCACGAATCCAGCTCCACATTTTTACCTAGCTTTAAACCCGGTCAAACACAAACTTGAACCAGCTTTCTTCATACAACCCGCAAACTACATCAACTACCTTTAAATTAAAACACACAAACTAGAAGCCCGAGGTATTAAAACAAGAAAACCCTGCTCTAAAAAAAGTCAATCATTGTCCTATCCAGGCTTTGTTGTCGGCCTTTAATAAACGAGTACCAGCCGCCCTAGGTATAGGGGGATCTGATCAAAGTTGGATGAGGAGGTTTTATGCCAACAAAGACGTTCTATGTCAGAGCAGACGGCTCTCAGACACAAACTCTCCGGGATAAGCACTTGAAATTTGATAGGCTCATTAATTATTCACTTGGTTGTGTGTGTGTGTGTGTGTGTTTGAGGGGTTATGGGGGTGATGTATGTGTAGGGGAGGGTGAGGTTAAGCCTGGGGTGGGTTTGTGTCTGTAGGATGTCAGGGTATGTGACATATTGTAACATTATGTGACAGGTCGGGGCAGTATGTGACACACCGTGGTAGCTATATGTTTGTGAGGGTAGTTATATGTGTGAGGGTAGCTATATGAGTGTGAGGGTAGCTATATGTGTGTGAAAGTAGCTATATGTGGGAGGGTAGCTATATGTGTGGGAGGGCAGCTATATGTGGGAGGGTAGCCATATGTGTGAGAGTAGCCATATATGTGTGAAGGTAGCCATATGTGTATGAGGGTAGCTATATGTGTGTGAGGGTAGCTATATGTGTGTGAGGGTAGCTATATGTATGGGAGATTAGCTATATGTGTGTGAGGTTAACTATATTTGTGTGAGGGTATATATGTGTGTGAGGGTAGCCAAGTGAATAAAGCCCCAGGTAACGTATCACGTCCTGTCCTAATTAAAAGATACCAAAGCCAGACCACTGACCCCCACATAGCCAGATCACTGACCCCCATATAGCCAGATCACTGACCCCCACATAAGTTGAACACAGTTTGTTGAAATACACAATCACTGATGTGTACAATTAAATTAAATCAACACATTCAAACAAAAAGTTTTTCACAACTTTTATTCCATTACGTTTTTAAAAATTCCATTTTTTGGCTGGCTGTGTTAAAAAAAAAATTCTTACTTGCCGAGGATGGCAGTTGGGGAGGGGGAGGGGGAGGGGGGAGGGAGGAAGGGATGGGAGGAGTACAGAAGTGCAAATGGTAAAAAATGTTGCATTGTTATAGATTTATTGCTAACTTAATTACGTGCAAGGTTTGATTGAATAAAAACTGATCACGGTTTATAAAAGTTTAAATATTGAATGATGTAGATATCAATGTGGTTCTACCACTGTCAATCTAATCGAACTGTTCGACCTTTAAGATTTGAATAAAGTGTTGTTCGACCTTTAAGATTTGAATAAAGTGTTGTTCGACCTTTAAGATTTGAATAAAGTGTTGTTCGACCTTTAAGATTTGAATAAAGTGTTGTTCGACCTTCAAGATTTGAATAAAGTGTTGTTCGTTTCTAATGGGATTCCTAGTGAGAAGATTATTGGGTCAAGATTTTTGGGTCACGATGACACAGTTCTAGGAGATCCGGGTGTTAAGTGAAGTTTTAAGGTGTCTATTGTGACGTAAATTGTGAGGTCAGATGCCTAATGTGACGTCAATTGTGAGGTCAGGTGCCTAATGTGACGTCACTAGAGATGTTTAATGGGATGCCAGCTATTGACGAAAAACAGAGTAATATATCAAAGTGTTCAGTGCGACAAGACCGACGACCTCTGCCTGTGACCAGAGATCAAACCTACCCGGCTATCAAGAAATGTAAACCCTTATAGTGAAGAGTTCATTCAACGACCGGTCTATGACGTAGTATGAGATTCTAGGATGGAGCTGGTCCAACGTTTTGTATTGGACAGTGAGCGCCATGTTTCTAAGTACGTGTGTAGTTTACACATGGGACAACCCAGAATTTACCAACCCACCTGTGAACATGTGACAACCCACTTGACCACCTACCTGTAAACATGTGACAACCCACATGACCCTCTACCTGTAAAATGTGACAACCCACATGACCCTCTACCTGTAAACATGTGACAACCCACATGACCCTCTACCTGTAAACATGTGACAACCCACATGACCCTCTACCTGTAAACATGTGACAACCCACACGACCCTCTACCTGTAAACATGTGACAACCCACATGACCCTCTACCTGTAAACATGTGACAACCCACTTGACCACCTACCTGTAAACTTGACTTTTTGGAGAGCGTCTTTGATGACCTCCCCCGGTACCTTTTTCATGGCCTCACATACACCTGGGACCCCGAGACAGAAGTTGCCGTGGATCTCCTGGGGTGCGGGGGGTGGGGGGGGGGAGAAGACATGGAATCAAATCTTTGACCAAATGATATGAAATTGGAGATACGCAAGAGAAATGATGAAGTTATGATCAGGACTTAAAAGAACGCTATGACTTTATTTGGCCTATGATCATGACTGTACGAACATGATGACTTGAGATGGCATATGACTTTGACCTTAAGTCGCCGTGAGATGACTTATGAGTTACCTTGAAGGCGTAAGCGAAGGCCATGACGGAGTCTGACACGAACTGTAGCTGGGCCTCCATCATGAAGGGGTGGTCCTCCTCGATGCTCATGTCCTCCTGGCATGTCCTGTTGTAATATTTGTTATTTGGGGTGCGGGGGGCTTTTTCATGGCGGCACTGGAACACGTCCTGTGGGGGGGGGGGGGGTTAGGGGGGGGGGGTTGGAAGAAATACAAATCCTTATTTCACATTTCTTTGAAATAAATATAAGTTGTGTACTTATAGTTTATATGATAAGATGAATTAGCACAATTATCCTAATTAGCATGACGAGCTTGATTACCTCCCAGTACTCGGGGAACCAGGGGTTCCGTGTGTTGGACGACGGTCGAAGCTTCAGGAAATAGTCTTTAAATCCTTGGACCTCTTCTGCCAGTGGCTGGACGGTCACGGCACCCTCGACCTTTGTGGGCACGGGGAGTTAGCATTTAGTGAGATTTGTACAATCTAAACACAGTGGTGACATTTGGTGACATTCTGACAGTCTAAACACCAAACGTTGAGCACATGGGTGGATATGAAAAAGAGCCAGACGTATAGTGGCTATGTTGAGACAATTTCCATGGTCAGTTCTATTTAATGGAAGGTTAATTATTGTAAGCTCTGGACAACATTAACCGACCATTAATTAATCAACTCTGTCACAATTAACCTCTACTATCACGTGCAGCATTGCGTCACTGATTACGTCAGTAGTAAACCTGGCAGCATGTTTCCAGGTCAGGGGTAAAAAAATGTAACATGATCAATGGATCTTAGATCAGTCTGACGTCTTACATGCAGGTGATAACCCAATCAACGTCAGGTCGTTGACCTCTTGACCCCATCGGTCAACTCTCTGTTAAATATTTAACAGAGGAGACCTACAGACAAAAATTATCTGTTGCCTTTTAAAGGGCTTTTGTCCATTGTAATCTTTGATCCAAATACTGCGGTATCCATTTACCCCATCCTAGAATATATAAACACTCACATCCAACAGGTAAATAATCACCTCCTACAGGTGAACACTCACCTCCTCCTACAGGTAAACACTCACCTCCTACAGGTAAACACTCACCTCCTACAGGTAAACACTCACCTCCTACAGGTAAACACTCACCTCCTCCTACAGGTAAACACTCACCTCCTACAGGTAAACACTCACCTCCTACAGGTAAACTCACCTCCTACAGGTAATCACTCACCTCCTACAGGTAAACACTCACCTCCTACAGGTAAACACTCACCTCCTACAGGTAAACACTCACCTCCTACAGGTAAACACTCACCTCCTCCTACAGGTAAACTCACCTCCTACAGGTAAACACTCACCTCCAACAGGTGAACACTCACCTCCTACAGGTAAATAATCACCTCCTACAGGTAAACACTCACCTCCAACAGGTGAACACTCACCTCCAACAGGTGAACACTCACCTCCTACAGGTAAACACTCACCTCCTACAGGTAAACACTCACCTCCTACAGGTAAACACTCACCTCCTACAGGTAAACACTCACCACCTCCTACAGGTAATCACTCACCTCCTACAGGTAAACACTCACCTCCTACAGGTAAACTCACCTCCTACAGGTAAACACTCACCTCCTCCTACAGGTAAACACTCACCTCCTACAGGTAAACACTCACCTCCTACAGGTAAACACTCACCTCCTACAGGTAAACACTCACCTCCTACAGGTAAACACTCACCTCCTACAGGTAAACACTCACCTCCTCCTACAGGTAAACACTCACCTCCAACAGGTAAACACTCACCTCCAACAGGTGAACACTCACCTCCCACAGGTAATCACTCACCACCTCCTACAGGTAATCACTCACCACCTCCTACAGGTAATCACTCACCTCCTACAGGTAAACACTCACCTCCTACAGGTAAACACTCACCTCCTACAGGTAAACACTCACCTCCTACAGGTAAACACTCACCTCCTACAGGTAAACACTCACCTCCTACAGGTAAACTCACCTCCTACAGGTAAACACTCACCTCCTACAGGTAAACACTCACCTCCTACAGGTAAACACTCACCTCCTACAGGTAAACTCACCTCCTACAGGTAAACACTCACCTCCTACAGGTAAACACTCACCTCCTCCTACAGGTAAACTCACCTCCTACAGGTAAACACTCACCTCCAACAGGTGAACACTCACCTCCTACAGGTAAATAATCACCTCCTACAGGTAAACACTCACCTCCAACAGGTGAACACTCACCTCCAACAGGTGAACACTCACCTCCTACAGGTAAACACTCACCTCCTACAGGTAAACACTCACCTCCTACAGGTAAACACTCACCTCCTACAGGTAAACACTCACCACCTCCTACAGGTAATCACTCACCTCCTACAGGTAAACACTCACCTCCTACAGGTAAACTCACCTCCTACAGGTAAACACTCACCTCCTCCTACAGGTAAACACTCACCTCCTACAGGTAAACACTCACCTCCTACAGGTAAACACTCACCTCCTACAGGTAAACACTCACCTCCTACAGGTAAACACTCACCTCCTACAGGTAAACACTCACCTCCTCCTACAGGTAAACACTCACCTCCAACAGGTAAACACTCACCTCCAACAGGTGAACACTCACCTCCCACAGGTAATCACTCACCACCTCCTACAGGTAATCACTCACCACCTCCTACAGGTAATCACTCACCTCCTACAGGTAAACACTCACCTCCTACAGGTAAACACTCACCTCCTACAGGTAAACACTCACCTCCTACAGGTAAACACTCACCTCCTACAGGTAAACACTCACCTCCTACAGGTAAACTCACCTCCTACAGGTAAACACTCACCTCCTACAGGTAAACACTCACCTCCTACAGGTAAACACTCACCTCCTACAGGTAAACACTCACCTCCTACAGGTAAACTCACCTCCTACAGGTAAACACTCACCTCCTACAGGTAAACACTCACCTCCTACAGGTAAACACTCACCTCCTCCTACAGGTAAACTCACCTCCTACAGGTAAACACTCACCTCCAACAGGTGAACACTCACCTCCTACAGGTAAATAATCACCTCCTACAGGTAAACACTCACCTCCAACAGGTGAACACTCACCTCCAACAGGTGAACACTCACCTCCTACAGGTAATCACTCACCACCTCCTACAGGTAAACACTCACCTCCTACAGGTAAACACTCACCTCCTACAGGTAATCACTCACCACCTCCTACAGGTAATCACTCACCTCCTACAGGTAAACACTCACCTCCTACAGGTAAACACTCACCTCCTACAGGTAATCACTCACCACCTCCTACAGGTAATCACTCACCACCTCCTACAGGTAATCACTCACCTCCTACAGGTAAACACTCACCTCCTACAGGTAAACACTCCCCTCCTACAGGTAAACACCTCCAACAGGTAAACACTCACCTCCCCCTACAGGTAATCACTCACCTCCTACACGTAAACTCACCTCCCCCTACAGGTAAACTCACCTCCAACAGGTGAACACTCACCTCCTCCTACAGGTAAACACCTCCCCCTACAGGTATACACCTCCGACAGGTAAACAACTCCTACAGGTAAACACTCACCTCCCCCTACAGGTAAACTCACCTCCTCCTCATTGCCCATGTAAGCCAGACCTCTGCCTCCCCAGCCGTCAGAGCCAATCCAGGCAAACGTCCCCGTCTCCCCGGCCCTTCTGACGGCCCTCATGAGCCCAGCAACCTCCTGGTCGGAGCCGAATATAATCACACCTGGGGAGGTGGGGAAAAATAGCACCTGTTTAGGCTCTCCAGTTCCATAATAATTATATTATTACTTTCTCGTATATACGAAGTATAGAGAAAGTCTTGTAATCGTGCAAAAAAAAAAAATCGAGATTTTTGCAAATCTCGACGTTTTACATCTCACTGATACGGAAAAACATAATTTTGTAATCTTGTCCGTATGTCTGTGTGTGTGTCTGTGTGTCTGTGTGTCCGTGTGTAAACACGATAACTTGAGTACCGTTACAGCTAGGTTGATGAAATTTCATATACAAGTATTATATCAAAATCGTAGATCCGTATCAACTTTTGAGCGATTTCGGATAACCGGAAGTGGTACTTTTTCTACTTTGAATTTTTCAAAAGCCTATAACTTGAGTACTATTTCAGATAGATAAATGAAATTTCACATGTAAGTAAAAGATCTAATTCTCTACCTTCTGTTAAATTTTGAGTAATTTCCGTTGACCGGAAGTAGTACTTTACGCTACTTCCGATTTCTCAAAAAACTAATGTAAATTTATAAAGTACTAATACTATTGCGCACTATTATACACACCTTTATTAGGCGTTCGCTTGGTGCGCAATTGTTTTTTACTGAGATTCTATTCTATTTTTAAAAGTTTCAGTATTTAAAATGGATTAACGATCATAACTATATCCCCAGTTACCATCCCCTGTTGTTTTATATAAGAATATTCGAGAAAGTTTAGGGGAGATCACTACCGGTTTATTTTATTTTCAAAACTCAAAAAATATTATACTATAAAAACAAAAACAACTTGAAAAAAAATAAAAATCAATGATTATAGGTGGAGTAGAGCGTATATAGAGAGCTGAGAGCCGCTGGGTATTAGTCCCAGCCCCACAGCTGTGCTTCCCCAGCCCCGTGGCAATAGTTCCTTGCTTTCCACTAAGCGAAGTGCACAAAAATATGTTGTGGCTCTTAAAACATTGGGAAATTTTGTAGATTGTAACTATTGGCTCTTCCGTCTCAAAAGGTTGCAGGCCCCTGACCTAACCTACTACCCTAGTTTAATCAAAGACACATCACATTCATATGTATCCCACGACCGACCTGCTAGAGCTAACCTATCAAACCTGTATGTAGAGATCTATACGAGTGTTCTACATACATCCCCAGAAAACATGAAACTAAAACATAAACAAATGAAGGCTTTATTGGCGCTATGCGAGACAGTATCGTTATGTCAGGCTTATTTATGACTCGCATTTCAATCTCAAATGTCAGTAACAGCATCGCTTGTCTTAGGGATTCTGATAAAAAATGACATTTATGACATACAAAATGACATTTAAAAAATGGGGGATACACATTATTTTTATAACACCTGTGTAGAACCAGACTTTTCTGGAACTTGGTATTATTTCCCTTTATCCACGAGAGATTAACAGGTCACCTCTAGACTCTGGTGCTAAGCTAACCGGATCAACAATGACCGTTGGTATTTGACAAAGACTGCTCTACACCGCATTTCTCTAAAACAATTTATTTTTCACTTGGTCACGTGATACCAAAAGGTCAGATGTAAGAATTCTTTGTTCAACTGATATGTTACGGTTTGATCCCAGATCAATATTTTTTTTATTAATGTGACACGACAGCGAGTGTTGTAGGCTGATCTGTCTTGGTGCTGTGAGTGCAGTTGACCATTGAAATGTAAAGTTCTTAGGGCAGTTGACCTATGATCTGGACATACGAGCTGTAAGGATAGAGTTTCATCCAGCCCGAATCTACTGGACTGGCTAGTCTAGAAGTTGCCAGAACATTCTCTTACACACCTACCGATTTCATTCCCTGGCCGGATTAAACACGTATGGATATCATGCAGGTAGTTGTTACATTTAGACGCACGACAGCAGGCATTCACATGACTTAACCAGATTAGTTGACAAGAAAATAAACACATGACTTAAAACATTAGACCCATGGCTTAAGACACCAGACCCATGACTTAAGACACCAGACAAATGACTTAAGACACATGACTTAAGACACCAGATACATGACTTAAGACACATGACTTAAGACACCAGACCCATGACTTAAGACACCAGACAAATGACTTAAGACACATGACTTAAGACACCAGACACATGACTTAAGACCCATGGGTTAAGACACCAGACCCATGACTTAAGACACCAGACCCATGAAAGACCCACCTCGAGCCAACTTTTTCTCCAGCAGACGTTGAACGATCTTGTCGTAGTCCTCGTCTTTAGGCACTCCCGAGTCTTTGAGTAGCTGCTCTCTGAGGGCGATACAGATCCCGTGCCTGTTCAGTTGCTGGTCAACTTCGTTAAATCCCTGATGGACACAGTCAATCACAGACCATCAAAGTCAATCCAAGTCATATATATATATATATATATATATATATATATATATATATATATATATATATATATATATTGTTAAAACCTTTCTGAATGAACTTACATCCTTGAACAAAACGAAACAAAAACCAAATAGGTTTTATTAAACCAATGATTTAAAAAAATATATCCCAGCTGCACTTTTGTAAGATTACATCCATCAATTTTAAAAAAAAAATCTTTTCTAATATTTATTTTAACAGTTTTTAAAAATAATTTTTAATATTCGTACAATATTTGTTTTTCGGGCTCGTGCTATTAAAATAATTATTGCTCTATTAAAAAATTATTGACGTGGTTTACAACCAGAGGGCAATGAAATCCCTTCCCGTTTTGTTTTTTTTAGACCAGGAAACAGTGTTTAATAAGGGTGTTTTTTTTGTAGAAACAAGGACACCGTGTATTTGTTATGGTGTTTTTTGTAGAAATAAGGACACCATGTATTTGTTATGGTGTTTTTTGTAGAAATAAGGGCACCATGTATTTGTTATGGTGTTTTTTGTAGAAATAAGGGCACCATGTATTGTTATGGTGTTTTTGAAACAGAACACCATGTATTGTAGGGTGACATTTAAAACCATGACACCATGTATTGTAGGGTGACATTTAAAACCATGACACCATGTATTATAGGGTGACATTTAAAACAACGACACCATGTATTGTGGGGTGACATTTAAAACCATGACACCATGTATTATAGGGTGGCATTTAAAACCATGACACCATGTATTATAGGGTGACATTTAAAACAACGACACCATGTATTGTGGGGTGACATTTAAAACCATGACACCATGTATTATAGGGTGGCATTTAAAACCATGACACCATGTATTGTACGGGTGACATTTAAAACGATGACACGATGTATTGTGGGGTGACATTTAAAATCATGACACCATGTATTGCACGGGTGACATTTAAAACCATGACAAGATGTATTATAGGGTGACATTTCAAACAACGACACCATGTATTGTAGTGTGACATTTAAAACAACGACACAATGTAATGTACGGGTGACATTTAAAACCATGACACCATGTATTGTAGGGTGACATTTAAAACCATGACACCATGTATTATAGGGTGGCATTTAAAACCATGACACCATGTATTGTAGGGTGACATTTAAAACCATGACACCATGTATTATAGGGTGGCATTTAAAACCATGACACCATGTATGTAGGGTGACATTTAAAACAACGACACCATGTATTGTACGGGTGACATTTAAAACCATGACACGATGTATTATAGGGTGACATTTAAAACCATGACACCATATATTGTGATGTGACATTTAAAACCATGACACGATGTATTATAGGGTGACATTTAAAACCATGACACCATGTATTTTACGGGTGACATTTAAAACCATGACACCATGTATTGTACGGGTGACATTTAAAACCATGACACCATGTATTGTAGGGTGACATTTAAAACTATGACACCATGTATTGTAGGGTGACATTTAAAACCATGACACCATGTATTTTACGGGTGACATTTAAAACCATGACACCATGTATTTTACGGGTGACATTTAAAACCATGACACCATGTATTTTACGGGTGACATTTAAAACCATGACACCATGTATTTTACGGGTGACATTTAAAACCATGACACCATGTATTTTACGGGTGACATTTAAAACCATGACACCATGTATTTTACGGGTGACATTTAAAACCATGACACCATGTATTGTAGTGTGACGTCCTTGAAACGCCCTGAACAAATTTCTTGTCTAGTGACATAAAAGCCAGTTTCCTCCTCGCTTGTTGCCCCTGATTGTCATTCGTCAAATGCTATTGGAATCTTTTATCTAGCTGATTCAGTTTTGGGGCGCTAGTTTTTGCTCGGAAGGTTGGGAAAAGGGTTTCGAGTTTAAAATGGATTCGATAAAAATAGGTGAGATAAAAAAAAGTTTCAATGATTTCCGTGAAAAAAATAAAACTACTGAAAGCCTGATGTAATTTTTTTTAAAGTGGGGGGGGGGGGGTGTGGAGTGGAGGGGTTGGGAGGTGTTCCACACGCAAATATGCAGGGCATTAGAGTTGTAGCTAAGTGTAAGAGAAGTGGGCATTTTGTGGGGCAGATTAAATGGAGAGTGTACAGTAAAAACATCACGTGGTGTTTGAAATAAAGCGAGGACTTTTTTGGTCTGGGCAACAACTCTATTTAGATAAAAATGGCGAGGTCAAATATTAATAATGTAAAATGTAATCGTTTGTTAGGTTGGTGTGGTGTGTCCGTTTTAGTAGGTGACTGTATGTATGTGTGTGTGTGTGTGTGTGTGTGTGATAAGCTAAGGTGGGTGGGGTTGGGGTCGTATGTGTGGTGTGCTTGGTGCCTGTGTGTATTTGATCAAGATGTGTAGTCTGTGGGGATGTTGTGCGGGTTTGTGCGGATTGTGTCTGTTGTGTGGGTTGTTTGTCTGTTGTGTGTGTTGTTTGTTGTGTTGTTCGTTGTGTTGTTTGTCTGTTGTGCGGGTTGTTTCCTTGTTGTGTGTTTGGTTTATGTGTGTCTTTTGTGTGGAGTGTTCTCTGTATAGTTTGCTGTCCAGTACATTTCATCCAGTGAGAAATACATTTTAAAGCGTGCTGATTTATTACCGACACTTGACTGAGCACCGCAACACTTTTGGTTAACCTTAAACCTATCACCTAGCCACCTAGCTTTAACCGCAAATGTTACGATTGATTACAACAATATCTTTTATGATTAATCGTAAAACAGGTTTTCAAAATTTGGATAAATTAAAGTGCACTTTATAGATATTGCTTTTTTTCAAATACTAAAAATAGCATTCAAGCGAGGTCATCCTTCAAAATAAAATGCCTTAAAAATTATTTCCCCTTATCGTTTTTCAGTTAAAAATACTTGAATAATTCACATGTTTGTGTTGTTAGTGATATTTCCAGTTTTTATGTTAACAATACTTGAATACGTCACATATTTGTGTTGGTATTGATATTTCCAATTTTTATGTTGCAATGTATTAGGTAGGTGTTTGTGTAGTATGATTTCTCGGTGTTGTGTAGTGTGTTTAGTCGGTGTGTTGTGTTGTATGATTGATCGGTGTTTGGTCGGTGTGTAGTGTGTTTAGGTAGGTATTTGCGTAGTGTTAAGTCGGTGTTTGCGTTGTGAGTTTGGTCGGTGTGTTGTGTGTTTAGTCTATGTGTAGTGTGTTTGGTCGGTGTTGACTGATGTGATGTTGGTGTTGTACATCTAATAGAGGTCACCATTAAGATAAAAGTCCTAACGGCCTGCTGGAACAATTTCATCAGCCTAATGAATTCCTGAAATAAAATCTCATCACGTGAAATAAGACCCGTTGAGATTTCATGATCAGACGTCAAAAGGGTTGAGTTGGCTCATTTTTAGCTGGCAGAGGTTTTACTAGAGCAACAGGTGACAGTCGTTAGCATTGGTAGCCACTCAATCATTCTCACTCAATCATTCTCACTCAATTATGTGTGCTTAACAGTAATGTGGTTTCAAACACACACCATGCGTACCGCACTGTCTAAACCACACATCATAAAGTGGACCTCACATTCACGCTATGGAGTTAAATTATCTCGTATAAATGTTACTGTCACTCAATCATTTCGTCTTTCTCACCAAAGTTAACAGCTCAACTCTACTGCACCTGCACGCTAGCTATCTCGTATCGAAACGATGTCCAGTGGAATGCGTTAGAAAAGATGGACTTAAAGTACAGCTGTAGGTCAGCCCGTGTCTTCCCGTTCACTCTTGACCCAGTCAAGTACTGGTGACTGAAAGTACAGACTTCGTAGAAGGTTTTAATGACTGGAGGCCAAGTCATAAAATGACTGCTGCAGAGTGCTAGTAGCCCCGGGCCGCGCATAGATCAGACCCCAGCGGGAGTGTAAAGTGATAAAACGGCAGTGACAGGGGTCGCCGACCCCAGCATTCGTCAGTCCTGACCCCAGTCAGTTGAACACAAGTCATAAAGATAGGGGGTCAACACTGGTGAATATATCACGTCATCGCTGACCATGGGGGAGTACTGGTGGGAGGAGTCAGGGGAGGGTGGGCAGTGGTGGTGGGCAGTGGTGGTGGGCAGTTGAGGTGGACAGAGGTGGTGTGTAGGGGAGGATGGGCAAAATACTACGGAGGATGAAAGTCGTATCACATTTATAAAAATTGTCATCCAATGCTTTGTTATCACATTTCATCGTTTTAGAGCAGGGGTCTCCAAACTATATATATATATATATATATATATATATATATATATATATATATATATATATATATATATATATATATATATATATATATAAATTAAATTCCGTTAGGGGGGGGGGGGCTCCGCCACCCCGAAGAGATGCCTGGAAGAAACTCTGGCCCCCGAACTTATATTTGATAGTTAATGCGGCCCTCGGGCTGAAAAGTTTGGAGACCCCTGTTTCAGAGTAAAAAGAAAGTGATTTAAAACACCCCCTCAGACGGCTCTGAGAGCGATGACCATCACCTTAATGTAGCGGTCATTGGACTGGACGTTGATGACGTTTGTGAACAATACACGACCTCTGTGGACTTCACGAAAGACCGAAGCACCGAATGTACAACTGGCTAAACAACGATTAGGTTGTATGGTATCTTACTGTTGTGGCTTCCTGACCAATCAGGACCAAGACACACCAAGACACCTGACCAATCAGGACCAAGACACACCAAGACACCTGACCAATCAGGACCAAGACACACCAAGACACGCCCAGCTAACATTTCGGGAACTGCCCCAAGAAAAAGTAAGCTGACTAAAGCTGGAGGGCAACACAGCCCAACATTTTTAGGGGAGTTTCATCTGTGTATCAAACCAAGATTCAAATCTTTTGTTTACTTTCATCTGTGTATCAAACCAAGATTCAAATCTTTTGTTTACTTTCATCTGTGTATCAAACCAAGATTCAAATCTTTTGTTTACTTTCATCTGTGTATCAAACCAAGATTCAAATCTTTTGTTTACTTTCAGTCTGGGTTTTGGGATGAATGGGACAAGGAGAGACGTTGAT